TTCATATATAGCAATAAGATATGGAAATTTTAATTTGATTAATGTGACAAAGACTAGTGCATTTTAATTATTTGCATGACTCTATACTCCCTTGAATCGAATATCACGTGCAAAGTTCTTATAATATGAGCATATATCACTTGTTTTTAGAGCTTTTCAGTAATTTCGGTCTTTTTTTTTTTCAAGGTAATTTATTTTGAAATTCGCATTTCAATATGCAATCTGCAGGCAATGTGCAACCCTATGAATTCATTCTTCCGCCAAGTTGGAAACAAACAAGAGTTGCCAACATACTTTCTGGAAATTATTGCCAACCCAAATGTGCTGAGCCATGGGTGGAGGTGAAATTTGAAGATGAAAAGCAAGGCAAAGTTCAGGTGGTCGCTTCACCTTTAATACGCCTAACAAACAAGCCTAATGCAACTATTGAAGATATTGGAAGCCCTGAGAAGGTGATTGCTTCTCTTGGTCCATTTGTGACGGGTAACACGTATGATTCTGATGAGCTCCTTGAAACATCAATAGAGAAGCATGGCAATCAAACGGTATGTTTTTTCATGTATATGCATTCATAATATTGTATTCATTTTGATCTGCTGTTTGTCTATAATCACCGTTAAGCATGATGTTCAGTTATTTTTGTTCAGAAAATAATCCAATGCAAATGGCATCGTTAGGATTTAGGTGGATTTAAGCATTTAGTTGTAGTGCACATGCTGTCAATGATTGGTACACCTTTTTTTTTTTTTTTTTAATGATTGGTACACCTCATTTCTCACACTCAATCAAGATCATACAATGGAGGTATTGGGCCGAATGCGATCTAGTTGGATCATGTTTGATCCAAATCGTATCTGAAAGAGATTATCTTGTTGTTTGAGAGATCAACTAGTTCATAATTTACTCCTAACAACTCCCTATCTGACTTGCTTTGTTTGACCATCATTAGTTAGTGGTTGACCAAATTTTTAGGATTGTTGGACGTCGCTCTTCGACAGGATTGCTATAATTGCTTGCCACTTCATCCATGATGCCAAAATGTCACGTTCGTCTCTTCATTCATGTTAGACACGTCAACCACATTGTCATTTCCAGAGCTGTTAAGACTACTATTTATTCATTGATTGTTATGCAAGAATAAGTTTTTGGACCATTGTATATTTGAATAAATTTTGTTACAAAGAGAGGAGATATTGAGTATATGTTTGGGAGAAAACTTCAAACATTTTGGTGTTATTATTGTGCCCAATAGTGGATGTAGGCTATCATTGGAGCCACTTATATTCTAGTATTCTTTTATTTATTTATGAGCTTATTGGGCCTATTGTATAATGCCTTCATCAGTGGAGTAAAC